CAGCCTTCTGGTTAGCAGTCAAATGCCCTAGGCACTATGCCCCAGAGCTCCTAGGATAGTTTTAAAAGGTACTTTAAATTAAGCTCAGTTTCTGCAAGCTGAAAGAAAATGCTATCTCTAAATGTTGAAAATGAGGAGGTGGAATGAAGAAGGTGGTCACCTGTACAGTTGTAAAGATACTGGCCTTCACTTAAAGTACTGTGCATTCCTCAAATCATAGCTGTATTTACTTCAAAAATCTAACCTCAAAACAGCTTCTACTACTCATTCCTTTAGTCAAATAAGTAAGATAAATATCCCCTACTATGATTTTTAAAGTTTAACAAATCTTTACTCATATTCATCACCCAATACCACTTTTTTTCCTAGCCCTGCAGGGGAGGGAGGGTTGTGAAATGAGAACATCTGAATAAATTGTATGAGGAATTATTTTCACTTCATGTTGTAGGATCATTGAACTAGAAAAGACCTAAATGTCTTCCAGTCTTATGCTTTCAAAAAGCTGAATTTGAATCATCCAGATATTTAATATGCTAACCTTAGGCTGAATCTGTTCTGAGGGGAAAAAAAAAATCTTAAACATCTGAAATTGGTTGAAAATTACACACCCAGTACTCCACATTGATAATAATAAAGTGAAACTGGTTTCAAGGTTGTTTTGTTTTTGTAAATCTTGTTTCTCTGTTATTTTGATAATAAAGAAAACTACCACAGTCTGGTAATAGAATTTTAGAAATTATTTGACCTTTCACTGATGAAAAACATACTAAGGATTTGTGGCCCACAAAGCATTGTCTATGTGCTAGAGAGGATACAGAGATGAAGCATGATCCTTGCCCAGAAGTTTACAGTGGAACTGGCAAAACTGTCTAGACCAAAGAATTCTACAAGTGATGCCAGGGACCCAAATACTTAACTGCTTGATTTTACTAGTTCCTAGGTTGTCTCAGTCTTACTTGGCAATGTTCTTCTTTGTTCATTCAGGGTAGATAGTTAATATCTCAGCCTGTTATGTCCTAAAATAGGAAAAACATGGCCATTTTAAACAACTGTCATTACTTTTAAAAAAAACATTAAGCTTGTGAGGAAATGTTACTCCAACAGTTAGAGCTTCAAGCCGACAGAGCCAGGCTAGAGTAACAATGAGATAAACTTCCTACACTTGAATGTCCAGAAATTATGGTTTGTTAAACTACAAACTCTAAATAAGCTTTTCTTCAATGTTGCACCATACACACCATCACCTGGGACGGATATTAAAGATACAGATTCTCTGAGTCAAACCCACTGAATGACGATCTCTGTAGACACTGTGGGGATTTGGTCATCCTTAGGCTCATGAAAGTTTGATGTCCTCATTCGTCAAAATTTTTTTAAAAAAAAATGCACCTTTTGTTTTTAAAGGAAGTATAGCAAATCAGAAAAGTACACAAATCTTAGGTGATCAGTGTGATGAATTATAACAAAGATAAAAACAACAGGTTAATTACAACCCAGGTAAAGAAAGTAAATGCCACAAGTTTCCCAGAAGGTCCCCCACCTTCCTCTAGTAGGCCACCACTATCAAGACTCGTTAACACCACAGATTAGTTTTGCCTGTTTTTGAACTTTATATAAATGGAATCATACAAAATGTACTCTGTGTCTGAATTCTTTTGTTCATTAGTGTGACTCATTCATGTGGTTTAATGTAGCAGCAGTCTATTCATTTTCCATTGTTTGAAGTAGTCCATCATGTTGAGAAATTAGAGGAATATTATGGTGCAGTGAATTATTTAATATGGCTCTTCTAGCCTTGATCTTCATGACTCCCACTAGGTGACTGAGTGGTACTACGCATATGTGAGGTGCTGGTGACCCACCAAGGGGATTGAATAGTTTTCTAATAATATAAATAAGGTACATAGCACCCTTATGGGGGCAGAACAATGCAAATAAGCCATATGGAGCCCTAATGTAGGGATTGGTCAGTTTTGCCATCTCACTAGGCTTAAAATGAGCCATCCTAGACATGGAAAAGGGTGGTCTCACTGCCATCAAGAGAGTAGAGCTGGGAGTGGAGCACAACCTAGGACCCAAGATCCCTGTGTGAGATGGCAGAGAGACGATAGCAGTAGAGGCAGCAGAACCGAGAGACCAGCACGAGACAGAGTGGTGGGCTGGCCAGCCCATGGAGCAAGAAAGCTGAGTCCCTTCAGGCAGGAGGACTGCTAGCAGTGGGGTGCACATATATTGTTGTTGTTGTTAAGTGCCGTCGAGTCGTTTCTGACTCATAGCGACTCCATGCACAGCAGAACAAAACACTGCCCGATCCCGTGCCAGCCCCACAATCCTTGCTATATTTGAGCCCATCATCGCAGCCACCATGTCAATCCATCTCGTTGAAGGCCTCCCCCTCTTTCGTCGACCCTCCACCCTACCAAGCATGACATCCTT